CCTGAAGGAGAAAGCCCTGGAGGAGAAGGGCCGAGGAGAAGGGCCGAGGAGAAGGGCCGAGGAGAAGGGCCGCAGTGCCTGAGGCAGGGAAGTGGGGGGGAGGGCCGGGCCCAGCACATCTAAGGAATGTCAAGTGAGGGGAGCAAAATATGGCAGACATGTGGATGAAGTCAGCGAGAGGAGAGGCACAGAAGATGAGAGACCAGTGACAGTGGGCGGGCCAGGCACAGGAGCAGGAGTCTGGGTTTGTCCAAAGGCAAAGGACAGCCAGTAGGGGCTTTTCATGCAGGAGGAACGTGGTCAATGTCCACTTCCAGTCAGGTTCAACCCCAAGTTACAAGAGGCACTTACTTAATACAGCAATTATTATCAAAAACAGAGCGAACCATCTATACCAAAGTACCCTGAATTCTTCCCTTTTAAAGATCTATCACGTTTCCCTCATTAGAAGAAAAATTAATGCCAACTCAACTTACACTCTAAGAATAAAATGTTCATTTTTTGCCTTTAAAAATAATAAGCACCATCACACTACATTTTGTTTTTTAAAAAGCCCAAGAAACAAAGACTAACATACATCAAGAACGTTACTTGATCTCTTTGTGCAAGACTATCAGGCTTTCTTTTCCTGGTTTCTTCTTGGTCACTTATCAAATATTCTTTCATAACCAAGAGATACACAGAGAATAAACTAATGTTAAAGAAAACATTTCTTGCACTTTAAATCAAGACAACAATTAGGACTTTTTAAAGTGAAGACAAAAAGCAGCCCAAGGCCACAGCCTTTTCTAAGCTTCCTCCAACTGTCAATCCAGTGGCTGAGTACAAGGCTCAAGGGCCTCTCTCCCTTGCAACATTCTTGACATAATTAGCTGGTAAGCACAGTTAATTTAATCAACCAGATATCAAGGCTCTGATCTCTTACCTTAGAGTCTCCCGTGCAGTATATCCCGAACCAATTAGGATAGATTCATCAAACAGCTTGTCCATGCAAGGAATGAACTCTAGAACACAAACATCCACTGCATGTATCACCAACAAAACCAATTACAGTTCATTACTTGACCACGAGCTCACTGTGGCAGGGGGAGAAGACCAGAGCCATGCACAAGCTGTTTCAGTCCAGAACATGGGCTTTGCTGGACCACATAGCCATATGGAGTCAAAGATGCAGCTGGGACCCTCTCAGTATGAGACAATGAGCAGAAACTGAACTACATGTCCCCTGCCAGAAAGCTCACTGCTCCAGAACTTTATGGAGGTATAGCATGGCCAATTTCCAATGTCCTTAAAAGCTGCCACCACCTACCCACACCTCTCTGTAGAAGGCAGCACTGTCTCCTAAGTGGCCCCCACCATTCTCTACTCCCCCAAGCCCCATTCTTACAGAAGCACTGGTGGTAGTGTAGTGATGAGTGCTCAGCTGCCAACCAAAATATTTGAACCCAGCAACTGCTCTACGGAGAAAGCTGTGCTGGCAGTCTACTTCTAGAAAGATCTACAGCCTTGAAAAGCTTTAGGGGCAGCCATCTGTCCTGTAGGCTTACTGGGAGTTTGAATGGATGTGATGGCAGTGGGTTTGGTTGGGGGTTGTTTTACAGTTGGGAGGATCCTTTACAAGCTCACTCACTGCCATCAAGTTGACACCCACTCACAGGGTAAACCGTCCCTGGGAGCTTCAGAGACTAACTCTGTCTGGGAGTAGAAAGCCCGTCTTTCCTCCATGGAACAGATGGTTTTGAAATGCTGACCTTGCAGGTCACAACCACACTGGTAACCACCAGTTGGGGAAAATTTTTCAGTGTTCTCAAAGGGGTGGGTCACAGGCTATTTTCCCTATTTCCTGGATAAGGCTAATGAAAGCCCACTGGGACTTATCCTACAGTTGGGACCATCACCAAACTTTCTCCCTGAAGACCCAGCTAGGGGATGTCAGTTCATCTCCTCCCAACTCCCCCAAAAGAAGGCCAGAGGACTCGGGCAGGCATGTGAGAGACAGACGTACGGTTTCTTAGTTCTGTGGTGAGAATGTGTTTTGCAGCAATCAGAAGTTCCTTCCTGAGGTGTGCCGTCTCCGCGGGACAATTCGAAAGCAACTGCAACATGCCTTTTACCATCTGCTGGGAGTGCTTCGTCACCAGCTCCTATCACAGTCAGGGTTAGAGCAACTCTTAGAGCAAGCGCCAGGCACCCTGAAAACTCCTCCTTCCTAACATCGAAACCACACTCACTGCCACCCAGTCAATTCGGACTCACGGCAACCCCACAGGACAGAGTAGAACTGCCCCTGGTGAGTTTCCAGTTGCCCCTGTTGATCTTCACAGATCAAAAAGCCTCATCTTTCTAACCCTTTAAACTGTTTTACCAAGACTAAATATGGACAAAGGATCCTTGTAAATAGGCTTCTGAAACAAGTAGCATCAAAAAGGTTTAGAGTGTGAGTGTGTGTGTGTGTGTGTGTGTGTGTGTGTGTGTTCTCTTACTGGGAGGATGAAGAACTGACCTAAGTAGCACTTGCTTCTACATGTGTGGTTACAGGTGTCTTCTCGGTTTGTCCAGTTTTCAACAGTGACTCAGTACTATGTCACCATTTGTTATGGGGGAGGGGAGTGTAAACATACAAACACAAATTTTTAAAATACTGTACTTGTTACTTGTCCCGTTAATGGAAGTTGTGAATGACACCATAGACTTAAAATCAAGTCACAAGAATGCCCAATTAAGGGGCTAGAAAACAGGTCTGTGACTGCCAGGGACTGGCATTAGAAGGACCCATGAAAGTACAGTGGTTAAACACTCAACTCCTAACCAAAAGTTCAACGGTTCAAATCCAATCAGTAACCATGTGGCAGAAAAGTCTAGTCAACAGCTTCCATAAAGATTACAGCCTTGGGGCGCAGATGGGGTTAGTTCTACTGTCCTATAAGGTCACTATCAGGTACGACTGACCCCAGAGCAGTAGCTTTGGTTTTGGGGGGTTTGGCAATAGAAGAAACCAACTACAAATATACACAAGGGAGAACACGCTGGGGTGGTGAAAATGCTCTATAGTTTGATGTGTTGGCATAGTTGTCAATTCATAAAACTGTCCAGATTTTAATCTTAACGAAACATTATCTCAATAAGTTCTACTTAAATCAAAAGCCACTAATGAACTCACCTGGTAAATTCGGATGATATAAGCTAAGAATGACAATGTTTTAATCTGAGCAGCAATGAAGTCAGCATATAACTCTTTATTATAAAGTTTATGTTGCCTAAAGGAGAAATAAATAAAATTTAGAGTATTAGCTCTCTTCTCTGTATGTGAGGTTGATACAAAGTAAAAGTTATGTAACATTTCCCAAGCCCTTCCCCTCCCCTGAAAATCTGCTTCCTCCACAGTTCAGGGCCACAGCAGCAGGGGGCACATGCACATTTCTGGGAGTCCCAAACAGGAAAGGCTTTAAGTCATTAGCCAAACAGCTCTCCAGACCATTAGTGAACCCCACAGAACCAGGCCTAGACTGACCCACTCCTCCACCCTGCGCAGACCCAATGGGTTTTGATGAAGCAACTGGGTCAAGTCAAGAACCTCCACTGCAGCTGTCCTCAAATGACCCAGAGCCTGAGAGGCTACCAGTCAAGAGAGTCAGTGATAAAGGCCTTAGGAGGGGGGCTCTGAGGTCTGAGAAAAGGCTTCGAGGATGATCAGGGCTGGCCCACAGTGAGGTCAGGGGCAGAAGATACTCTAACACCCGGCTAAAAGCAACAGGGAGAATAAGGCTGAGAGAGTTTCCGTTGAGTATAATCATATTGAGTATAATCATACCCAATGAGGTTTCTAACTTTCAAAACACCAAAAACTAAAGACATTATGATTTTGTCTTTGCAAATTAATAACAAACTATAACAATCGCCTTGGAAAGTTCAAAGTACCTGTAATTTTACCAAAACATTATCATCGCCTGTTACCTTCATGTCTTAAGGTGGACAATAGCAAGTTTATGTGTACTTAGATTAGAAGCACCCTAGTAGCCAACTGTTATCACTGCCCTACGAAAGCTCACCTGGCTTGCGCAGATACCTGAATTGCAATGGTATTCATGATCAAAGGCACAAATTCGGCAACGACATTGTGGATATTCAGCTTGTAGAGCTAAAAGCAAGCACATCAGAGGTCATGCTCCTACGCTCAGCTAGAACAAATCACAGGGTGGGCCAGAGAAACCGCACAACTCCCTACATTAGTTAGCACACGTGGTACACATGTGCCCGTCACAGAAAACTGTGTGCGACGCTTTATAAAAAACTACTCAGACATACCTGATACATTAAAACAACAATAATGGGCAATTCGGCCAACACTTTCAGAGACAGCGAGCCCCTAGGAATGATGGAATGCTGTGAAAGAGACAGATTATCTCTGGTTACCAATGATGCTGAAAACTGTCCAAACCCCTAACTCACACTGAGACAAAGAAAACAAACACCGATACATCTTTGTAAGTAAGGGTGCACCATGACCCAAACAGTGTTGAAAACAGAGTACACACATATGGCTCTCGTTTCATGTCAAGGCTTTTCCATTTTCCAGTGGCATCGCTCAGGAAAACCTGCCCACATGCCATGATTCAGATCACCTGAGTCACTTTATAGACCAATCATCATCTACTTATTTGACTTAACTGAGAAGAAGAATGAAGAGCCAGATTTACTGGGGCATCTTGATTTAGAAGTACTATTCAAAATTTAGTTTCTTTTTTTGCCAAAGAGAAATGTTGTGTGACGCTGTTTCAGGACCACAAGCACAGTAGTGAGATATTTTTACCTCAACAATCACCGGGGGTGGGGGGGTGAGTGAATACTGAGCACATGCTCTCTGTGTGGCAGACCCAGCTGGGCCAGCACCACTGTCCCAGTGTCCCAGGACGGATAGGAAATGGGGGGCGGGGCGGGGAGCTAAGACGCCACTCCCAGAGCTGTCTGCAGAGCCTAGTCTCTGACATGCAAGCCTGTGCCGTGTTGAAAGGCTCTGTTAGGTCTGCTTTGAGCCCAGTGCTCTTTTAAAGAGCTATCTCTACGGGATCAAAGGATGGCAGCAACTCAAAAGGTTAGATAAGAAGCTAGGAGTTTATGTTACTGGAGAAGGCAGAGTTCAGAACAGAGTTGGGAACAGATGTACGAATGGACACACGACTTAAGAGTCAGTGATGCTGACTGGTGTGTGTGGCTACTGTTGAACTGGTGTGTTTGGCTGCTGTGCACATTTTCAACGAGAGACTCAAAGCCGAGAAGGCCCCTGAGCCTGATCTGCTGCTCCTTCCACCAGCGCAGGGTGGATTTCCACCACCAGGCATCTTCCTGTTCTTGCGCCAGTCAATGGCTGCCAATAGCTTGCTCCCCCTACCTCCAGGTTGCCTAGCAGAATCAGGGATTCTCTCTCATACACATGTCTGTTTAAGTACCTTATATACCCCAAGGGACTTAAAAAAAAAATCTTTAAGGCCTAAAGGAAATCAGCATCTCCGCACCAAGTGCAGCAGAGACCGTGGAAAGCCAAGCCCGTCTACCCACACACACACCGTTCTTGTCTCGCTGTCCTCGCGCTCGGGGTTCACCTTCACAGCGAGTGTGGTTATCATGCCAACCATTTCCGGGGGAGGAATTGTGTTTTCCGGGATCACCTGAGGGTTCTCAAAGTAGCGGTTCTACATAAAAACATAACAGACAGCATTTTTCCTAGAGTTAAACACAATATTCCTAAACACAATACACCTGACATTAAAGGACAAAAAGCTCCTTAAATATGCATGACTGGAACAAAAAACCCAAACGTTCTGTTTTCTGCTGAATGCACCACCATTCACATCCCACTCCCCTAAAATCAAGTCCACAGAGCCTTGCACCTGTCTAAAACCAACACAGGCTGCACGCTTACCTTCTCTCAAGACTACAAAGTTACAGATGCGGGAAAGACAATGTTCTCTGTCTCCGACAACAGAAAAAACTTGGCCAGAGACTTCCCCACCCTTTTTTGGTAGCTAATACAACACAAGCCCAAATTCCACTACCACCCGAGTGAGGCAGGGGAGACCATGCCTCTAGTGGTGAGAAACCAGGGCTCGCTCGCTCATGAACTTTTCAGACAGTCTCCTCCCAAAGAGAGATCAAAACCAGGCACAGATGCCATCTTTAGGAGCCAGGGCCCCACTGTCGCCCTGAGGCCTCAACCGAACCCGGACGTCACGTTAAGCTTGGGAAGGACTCGATGGCAGCCAGTTGTCTGAGCTTAAACATTTCGCCTAGAAACCATGGTGCAACAGTGAAGTGTTTAGCTGCCAACCCAGCAGACATATCTAAATAAATGAGCTGGCAAACTGCTTTTGTAAGGATTTCAGCCTAGGAAAGCCCGTGAAGCAGTTCTCTGTACTATAGGGTCACTACGAACTAAAACCCAAGTACTTCCCTTTCCACAGGCCACCCCCCACCCCGACTCCCCCCATCATTCCTTCAACCCAACTGCATCAAATTTCCTATGGGATAAGCCCAAACTTGATTTTTAAAACCATACCACGACTTTTGGAAGCTCTTTGTAAATTTGCTTCACAAAATCCAGAAAGTGATGGATCTACAAAGCAAAACCAGAAAAGACAATGTCATTATAAGAAGGTATATTTATGTATCTGTGAACCCCTTTCCCACACTAGCATCTTGTAACCTGAGGCCAGAAGAAGTAGATGGTGCGGCTACCACTGCCACCGTCAACTATTCTCACCAGGGACACAGTAGGAGGTCCCAGTTAAGACTTAGAAACAGAAAACTCAAATGGATTTTTAAAAAGGCCAATCTTACTAGACTGATAGAGATTGGAGGCACCACCAAGGCTAATAAGGACATGGGACCAAATGTCAACATTCATCCAAAAGCTAAGAAAACAAAG